CCCTGCCCCCAGCCACATCCCCGGCCCCGGCTCCACCCCCGCTCACCTGCGCAAAGGAGAAGACTTGGAGGCTCGCGCGCTCGCGACACTGCCCGCACCAGGTAGGTATTCTCTTCTTCTGATTTCCTTCTTTCTCTCCTTCGTCTGCTTCTTTTACTTCACTTTTGCTTTACTTTCTCGTTCCCTTCTCTTTCACTTATTAACTTTTTCTTCTTCTCTCCCTCTTCGTTCTCTTCTCTCCCTTTGCTCTTCATTTTTCTGGCTATTTTCTTTTCCTCCTCCTTCTTCCTTTTCTCTTTTCATACACATTTCTTCTTCTCTTTAACATCTTTCCCAATTCAGATTATTTTCTTCTTCTTCTTTCTAGTCTTTTCCTTTCTTTTCATCTTGTTCGTTTTTTACTTTTCTATTTTCTTCCTTTCTTTCTTCTTTGATTTGTTCCTCCAGCTTTGTGTCTTGGTTTCTTCCTATTTTATCTTCGTATCTTTCACCTCTCATACTTAGCCAATAATGTGATAACGACATTTGGTACTCTAAATGTTAATAACTAGAAATACACACAATTAAAATCTTATTGAAATCAAACTACCTGACTGGATAAATTGCAATACAAAATTCTGGATTTTATAAAACTACTGTAAATGTTTATGAAGATTTAAGATCCACTGCCCTGCTCAGTTTCATTTCAATCCCAGCTCACGGTATATACTCGAGTTAAAAAATGTCGATGGCTAGTCGACAGATTCTCCAAACAGACTTGATAAAATGAAACTCAGAGTGTAACAACACACTAAGTTTATTACAGAAGCGAAATCTACAGAGAATTACAAATTCCTAATGTAAAGTCAGAACGGTAGTGAACAGCATACAATGTTTTCTTACAACTATATACGCTCTACCCCCACTTCTGTTTCCAGATAGAGGTAGGAGAGGGGGTGACACTTGGCATTGCCAGTTAGAGCAAGCGCGCTCCGGGTGGCCCTTATCAGGGAAGGGGATGAGCGCCTCAGGCGAGGGAACTCGGAATATCACGGAGGGTGAAAGGTTGAAGTGACCCTCTGAATTATGTGTAGGTCAAAGGCGCAGGCTTCAGTATCGACGGAATATTCCAAGCCCTATCCGGTAACTTATTGGGGTCACAGAAGCCGCCTCTTCCTCCGATCCCAAAATACAATTTTATCGGGAGGACGCAGTGTCATCTATTTTAATTGAAGGTGTAAGCCCTCTCTTGCTCTGGGGTACATGGCGTACTACACACCCTCTGTACGTTGGGATGTAACACTCGTGTCGTTTAATATAGTAGAAATACATTTGTGGCTCTTGTTCTTCCATTTTAGTTTCTTCCAATCTTTCTTCCTCGTCTTTAAATATTTCTATTCTTCTCAGAATCTTCATTTTTATCTCCTTTCCTCTTTTTTTCTCATTTCTGCTCTTTTCTGTACACCATTATTTTTTTCCTTTTCTGTTTCCTGCTGTTGTTGCTAACAATGTATTTGTTTAATTTCTTTTCCTCATATTATCGGTCCTCTTCTTCCTATAAAGGTCTTTCTTTTCTTCTTTTTTACTTCTTTCGCTTACACGTCGTTATTTCTCTTTTATGACGTCTTCCTCTTTATCTTGGATACTTGGCTGTTCGGAATGAGCCGCGTCTCAGTCGATCGAGCTGACATTTCGGCTATCATGTTGTAGCCTTATTCAGAGCTATACTGCTGAATAGCTCTGAAGAAGGCCGAAACAACGGCCGCGGAAGCCTACGAATACATTTCTCTTGAATTACGAAGAATGAATGAATGAATTACGAAGATTACACGTTGATATCTATAATGGCGGCGATGGTGTAACGGTTAG